TTTTTAGAAGAATAAATACCAAAGGGTTACATTTAATCATGCATTGTTTTCTCCTAGAAAAGTTTACTCTCATTTTTAAAGAAGATAAGTTCTATAATTGATATAAGCTTTCCTGTTTATAATTTTTTTTTTCACTAAACACCATTGTTTCTATTTATTTTTTATTTTTTAGAGGGTGGTGTCTGGCCAGATGAACCCTGGACCTTGGTGTTAGTAGACAGTCACACTCTAACCAACTGAGTTAACCAGTCAGCTGTTTCTTCTATTTCTTGATACGTATTTTGCTGCTACAATATGGTAATTTTAATATTGGTTATTTGTAACATATAAACTTCAAAAGGACAGCTTTGTGTTGTCTAGCAAGAAATCTCTATTTTTGTGCATAAAAAATAGTCATATCTAAATCTCATTGCTTACTGGGTCTTAAAATACATATTTTTTTAAATGTTTCAGAATCTTGAAGAAATGTCAATGTATTTTACTAGGATATGTACAGAATGATACCTGTGCAGACTTTGCCCTGAAAAGAATCAGTTCCTTGATTTTATTTTTCTAGATCAGGCTGCTGAACTGCTGACATGTCAGCTATGGGGCAACATAGACAAAGTTTTGAAAACAGATTCCCCTGTCGTCTAATACCTGCATCTGAGGGAAGCACGGTGAGTGGGACATCTTTGGTTTCAATTTTTACAGAAGGCTCCAATAAGGATTGCATTTTAATAGGCACTGGTGTCAGAGGAACCTTAGTCAATCGTATCAGCTCTGAGGGTGGAGGTCCCTGAAATTGGATCCGGGCCCCAGGAGGGACTGTGTGGAAAGTCAAAGGGATCCTGAGGTCCTGCTGGTGTGGCCCAAAGGCGCTGGACTGCTGCGCCAGGATGACCTCCTTGCTGCCATGGACCAGGCCATTGGACGGGAGCTCCGTGCCGAGCCTGTGGTCGTGGAATCTCTCGGGCTCCTCTGTTTTGATGATTCCTTCTCGGATGGCCACCAAACTTTTGCCTTCCTCGCTTTTCGCGGTGTCCTTCATGACTTCCTCCACTTCCAGCCTGCCCTTCTCGTCCCCTCGGAGGCTGTCGAAGACCGGCTTGGGGCCTTCCACGTTGGCCACCCCGGAGGCTCTAGGGCTCACCTCAACTGTCCTCCGAGGCCCCACCGACGGGTCCAAGCCGGGCCCAGGTTCCTCCTTTTCGGCCTTGACGTGCAGTGCCCGGGGCTGCAGCGGGTGGAACTCGGACGTCCAAGGGGCACCCTCGGACGCGGGCGGTGGCGGCGGCGGCAGCAGCAGCAGCTCGGGCCTC